CCCCAAAACCCCAAAACCCCAAAACCCCAAAACCCCAAAACCCCTTTTTGGATAGAGAATATAGAATTTTGAACGAAGAGAGGAAACTACAAATAGTTCTTTGAGGCCACTGTTTTGGCATCAGACTTCCCTATTTTCAGTTTTCTCCTACTCCCAGCTCTACTGGTCGTTCAGTACTTTTTAATAAGTGTATCTACAGTTTGAGATGTGTTCGGCCCTAAATTAGTCAAGTTCTTCCTGGAAGAAAATGATCCAAATGAAGGTGCTATAGAAGTAGTCAGCCAGCCTTACTGCCTCCAAAAGGTTGCCGGGTCTGAACCTTATCCTTCTGGTGTATCAGTTTGTCTGGGAGGAACCTTATCTGTTTGAAGGTCAAGATATCTTTCTTTCAGTCATTGATCATGTCAATAAATTTCTGATCTCTGATGCCATTCTTATGGAACTGGTTAATGTCATGATTATCGTAGAGATTATTAGAAATATAGTCCATATTGACACTTCTGCGACGTTCTTTCCCCTCAGTCTTAGGGCTTCTCTTTTAAAGTCTTACCCATCAGCTTTAGAATTGACAATTTTGTAATAGTGTTCGAGATTTTATGGATTCCACTTTTCCTAGCTCTGTAGGCATTCATCGACTTGACTCTTTTGAGTTTAGCTTCCTTCGCTTTGGAACGCATTTCATTTATGAATTTGGTTCCTTCTGGGGGCTTACTTGTTGATATGGCCTGATTACTTTCAAGCATCCTCTCTTTGAAAGTTGGCTTGTACTTTTCTTTATATTCCTGAGTAGCTCACTTGAATTGAGAAATTATCCCACTTTGAGCTTTTTGATTGTAACCAATGAGATCTTCTTCTTCCTTATTTTACTTCAGGCTCTTCGAAGGAGGTCTCAAGTAAGAAGTTATGTCCTACTTTAACAGGGTGAGGGTCTTCCTCAGGGAGAGCCACAGGTTCTATAACTCCTACCTCAATAGTGTTGGAGTCTACTGTGTCTTTAAACACTTCTGGAGGTGAAAGGGTCAGTCTCATAGTGACCCTCTCTGCTGAAGGTATCCTCACTAGACTTGAGCTAGACTCTTTGCTATTAATATCAATTTGATCAAGGTCTAGTGAAGTTTTTGCAGTGTTCAAGATAACTTTTCTGAGCTTTCTCTTACTCTTTGGAGCCTTTTCTCTGTGATAATTCAGTAAAATCTTGAGGAAAGTGATATTATTGCGATTTTCCCCAAGAAAGATGCTTGCTTTCTTCGAACTTTTTGTGATCCTTCCTTTTACTCGTTTATTAATCCCTAGAGAGTTTCCAATAGAGCACATTAGTCTTGCCTCTGTAGTCTCTATTGAATATATCAGCCTGTGTAAAACTACTTGGAATATCTTTCAGATTGAGCCTGAGTCCTCAAAATCGTAAGAAGGGAGATTCAGAGACTGTCTTTTAAATTCCTTCACGTTCTGGGTAATGTTGAAGATATTTTCAAAACCGTTAACAGATTCATTAATAAGGCTCTCTTTTCTTTTTGTGTGAATCCTCAGCCTCTGGTTATTATTTCTGAGTGGTTATCAAAACATTCCTGATATTTGGCTGAGTGAAGTCTATCACCTCGAAGCTTTTGTTTTTATTAACAGCTCTGGCTTCCTTGACATCTTGAATATGGACTTTTCTGGCATTTTCCAAATCTGTAAGATATTTCTGCTTAAGCTTCCTCTTCCTAAAAATAACATGGCTTCTTACTTGTCAATGTCTTGGTTGAAGAACCTGTGGAGTTGGTAGCCATGCATTTTGTGTTGGCTCTTCTGTGAGCCAATGTCTCGTTGCTCTTTGGTACCGAAAACCTACAAATTAGGCAAAGGTTCCTACATATTCGATCTCTTTTTGCTGTTGCAGAAGGATCTCTTGAGTTTCTTGCTCATTTTCCTGGATCTCTAGAGAATCAAACTGGGGTTATACTTCATAATAACTGATATTTCACTGTTAAGTTATCTATTTTGTTGTTGATTTCGACCAGGTCTTTGTTCCTCTTGATAAATTTGACCTGCTCGGCTTGCTTTGACACATCCTGTTTGTTCTTTTTAGACTTGATCAAGGCTACCTGGGACTCCAGAAATTTTATGTGCTGCTTACGCTTGGCTGCTTTAGAACTATGAATTAGAAATTATCTTTACATAATTGCTTTTTCAAGTTCAGCCTTTTGGTATAAAGCTTCATCTTCTTGATTCTTGTATTTAGTCAGGTGTCCAAGGAGGTCATTGTTCTTAGTCTCATATTCCTTCACCAATGAATGTATATCTATAATTCCAGTCTCTCATATATCTAACTTGACTTACAGGCTATTTTCTCTCTCATGGCGAGGTAGTCAATAGTGGTTCGTTCCAAAATATTTTTATAAATCTCCTGTTCATGAAGTTTTTCCTCCAGATTAATATCCATTTTAAGGATGAAGTTGTTATTTGTCATACTTCTCAGGAACTATTTCTGAGATCAGCTTCCTGTCACGCAGGAGGGTGTCCACTCTGGCAAGGTTTTCCTCCTCAATTTTATTTATGAAACGAAGTCTTATTATACACTTTTCATAGCAGTTCTATTGGGATTGACCTATATCTCAGTCTTAGGGACTATAAAACTTGTGATATGTTGGAAGGGGGCTGGCTTACTCCTTCTTGAAGTCAAATTTCTTGTGGTCATGATTATATGTATTAGTTGTCTCTAAAGTCCTCATCAGAACACTATCACAGGAAGAATTACCTCGGTCAGTTCCCTTTTCGAAAAAGGTCTTATTCTCTATGATTGCTTTTTTGAGATGAGTTTCTTCATTAGCTTTCAGTTGAGCTCTTTGTTCCATGTATAATTTTCGAAAATAATTTATTTATTCTGAGTCAGGGGTTTTGGGGTTTTGGGGTTTTGGGG